TAGACCGGAGAAACCGATGTCGTAGAAGACGCCGAACAGCCAGATGAAGACGAGCTGCGCGTAGCCAGAGCCGGTGTTGGTCTCGCCGGAGTTCTCATACACGGCACCGGTGATGGTCCAGCACACGAAGGAGCCGACCATGCCTGCGACGATTAGTTTGATGGTAAGAAGAATAGACCAGAGGGGGACAAACCGGAGATAGAGGTCAGGAATAGAGGGCGACGACCAAAGTTGTCGACCTGGGTGGCGGCCGCCACCGTGACAATAATATCGAGGATGGTCTTGCCGGTGCTCAGGGCCAACTTCTGGTTCTGGTTGGTGATGCCGGCACCCTCGTAGATCTGGTTCATGTAGTTGGAGAACAGAGCATTACCCGAGTACTGGGAGATGATACCCAGAGAGATGATAATGGCCAGACGCCACAGGTTACCCTTGGTGCGGAAGAAGTCGATGTAGCTGCTCTTCGAACCGGCCTCCTTCTCCAGACGGATGGTCTCCTTGATCTCACGGTATTCGAACTGCACGACGGTGTTCAGGACATCGCCACCACCGTGGTACTTGGTGAGGACAGCGAGGGCCTCCTCGTGGCGCTCCTTGTTGATGAGGTAACGAGGAGATTCGGGGATCCCTAGAAGCCGTGCCGATTAGCAATACTCTATGAATAAAGCGGTACAGAGGATGACTTACAGTAGATAAAAATGAGCTGGATGACCGAGGGAATAATCTGCAGCAATGTGATAGACCGCCAGGACCACTCGCTCGTAACGTACGAGGTACCCCAACCAATGACGGAGACGAGCAGAGCACCGGCGTTCCAGAGACAGTTGTAGATGGTAGTAACCGGACCACGGTGCTGAGGATGAACGATCTCGACGAGCAGCAGGGGAGAGCACATCTGGGCCAGGGAGTTGCCGAAACCCAGGATGAACCGACCAGCGATGTACATGTTGTAGCCGGTGGAAGCAGTGCCTACAATACCTCCGATGACCATGAAGATGCACCCCAAGATGATGGCGGTTTTACGGCCGAAGCGATCGGCAATGTATGGACTGGAGGTTGGCGTTAGAATTTCCTGCTCCTGGCCAGGGGCTGGAGAACATACGTGATGAAGAAACTGATAATGGAACCAATATTGAACATGTTGACCAGGAGACCCAGCCAGTTGTTCTCCTTCACCTTGGGGGAGAAGAAGTTGTTCCAGTTGTCCATCATCTGCGAAGTATTGACAAGCATACTATAATTGAAGCTGGTTAGTTTTATAATTGCTTTGTCCCTGGCAGAGATACATACCCGTCGTAACCGGTGGTGGCAGAAGCTACCATCAGCGCCGCCGCCATCATGTACAGCTTGCGCAGGTGAGGCTCCCTCTTCCAGTCGACTTTCTCGAACTGGGGAGCCTCAGCCTGGGCCATCTGTACCTTTTCCTGTGCGCCCTTGGCGCCGATGCTGGCGATCTGAACCATTGTGACTGTGTTGCTAGCAAATGCACCTGTGGGACGAACACGAGAGGACTGATCAAGAGCGAGAAAATGGCGGGGTAGCAGCTACATATTATAGCACTGAATCTGGGGAGAGACACGAGGATGGAGCACGCTGCCCTTGACCCGGCTTGGTCAAAGCTTGGGACGAGGCAAAGCATAACAAAAGGGCTGCAGGGAAAAATATGGACGCCACCAGATGGCATGAGTGATTGGTGTGATGAATTGAGCCGGAGACTACCTCGCCTACGGTGTCTAGCGTGATATCCGGGGAACAGCGAGAACGAACTGGATAAAAGGAGTGTTGCAGACTGGGATCAGGAGGGACTAGGCGAGCAGTCCCCATGAGGTGATTGGATTGATCCAGCAAGCCAAGGAGCGCCTGGACAAGCTAATATCACGGCCAGAGCGCTTGGCGTCTCGCTTGGGTTGACAGTTTTTCGGCTGGACGGGCCGTATCCGTTTTGTCCACCTTTGTCAGTATGTCCGTTGTCGAGAAGTTTGAGAGATCGAGGAGCGTATGTGAGGGCTTTCATTCTTGCTATCAAGTTATTTCTTTATGTTCTCTGATATGACAGTTCTCTTGTATCTGACACAACGGGAGACCTGGCTGAATTTCTCCGTGTCCAGAGACTTGGCCTTTTTGATCCTGGGCAGTTCCACCAGCCCCGTGTCTCTCCCCGGGTAAAATAGCGGGTCTTCAGGATAAACTCGAGCACAGAGACTCGTCTTTGGTTAGTTCTCCGGTTTGAGTTTGATCCCCGCATTCTTTAGTTGGAGCAAATGAAATCTTTTTCTGTCCTTGTGCTGTCCGCCTTTACCCTGTCAGCCCACCAAATCTCAGCCGAGGCTAGATTCATGAAGCCCTTGCAGCATACCTTAGCCTGTCTACACTACGATTCTGGATTCAACAGCCTGTACGGAATATATTCAGTTCTACTGGTGTCGGGATGCTTTCAGCCTGGAGAGACCTGTCATGAGTCTGTCAGACACGCGATCTCAAAAATGTCAAGTTCGAAATATCTCGCCTAACGGGCTAATACGGTAATATGTAATACACGAGATTCTTCCGGTCAGATGAGACCAATCCCCTCAATTTGAAACAGTAAATGCTTCGTATCCTGCGCTGATATTTCCCCATAGGTACTTGCCACAAGACACCAAACGTTAATTCCACTGATCAAATGAGATTCAGCAGTGATATTAACAGGGTCTTTAGCTCCTCCTCAACACAAATCTCAGCCATAGTCCAGTAAATTTTACGCCACTGTTGGAATTCCAAGCATGAGTCAACAGTTATAGCCCAAAGTAGGAATGTACTTTGTAACCATTCTTGCTCACCACGGGCCGTTACCCCGGCACACGAAAGTTGCACGTACACAGCAATGTTGGGCCTCTGGTCTATTCTCATGTATGCCTTACCTCTCAACGTAGTGGCGACACGGGAAATTAAGCGAACATCGCTAGTCGTTTATCGCTGAGCATGTGAACTTCGAACCATGTGGCCCGGTGTTAGTTATCTGGGTGCGTGATCGGATGGATCTCGGTCAGAGTCCAGTTCGCGTATTGCTCGAGAGTCTGGCCCGATGAGGAGTGAAACCGGGAACCCGTGACAGACACGCCGCAGACTAGACTGGAGAGCACAGAAGAATTCCTCCCCGGGCCAGAAATAACGGCGAGCTACTGGTTTACCGGTTGTTGATTGAGTGGAGCTCTTGTTTAGGCTATCAGAACAGCTGACTCTGACAGCTTTTGTGGCAATCTCGGTGGATGGATCATATACAATTAGGCAGACTCTGATTTAGGCGACTATTGCACCAGCAGTTTACTTGCGTTTCGGCTCCAGTAATTAGTCCAAAGCAGAGTAATCAGGATGTAGCTATCCTTGCTGTCATTCTAGATGAATTGCCGCTTGCTCGTCTCGGCTCTTGTCCCTGATTCTCTGTCGGGCAGCCACCGAGCTCTCTTATGGCAAGGTTCAATCCCTGTTTGGCGGCTGTACAGGTCTTGATTTCAGACCAGACATGAAGACATGCGCCAATAGCGTACATCATGTAAATAATAGTTCTGTTGGTAGGTCTGTGCGCTGATTCCAAATACGGTCTCATGCTCAGTCAGGCAGTAGAGACCAGATAGCTGATTATTTGGCCCCGGTAAGCTAGAGCAGCACATTTGCAGACAAGCCGACAAGGATGACAGGCGTAAGCAATATCAGGCGATCCACAGAGAAAGCAACGAACTATTGCAGGCTCGTGGTAGTTGTTGGCACCAGTCTGGACTTGATCCTAGTAACATTGAAGCTATTGAATTGAGCCTGCTTGATCGGCATTGAGGGACCGCTCGGTCATCCCCCTACAATCCTGCCAACAGATTACATTTCTTGGACTCGATGGCGGGTCTCGACTTTTGTTTGGTTATCTGGTAGATAGTCCTATCTCGTCTCGTTAGATTGGCATGGCGCATTGACATTTCACAAGCCTCTCCTGAGTTCCCTCATCTTCACATCGACTGAGGGGAAGCAGGACTGGAAGAGCCTGAACAGCACCTGTCGATTTGGTCAGAAGCAATCACTGACATCCAGTCAAAATAGTATCTGTTCAATTTCGAGCTGAAGGTGGTCTTGCTATGTCTAAGACATTGCTCACCACATGCATCAATGCCTCATTACTGCGTGGATATGTCTGGGCTATTACTGTAGACCGCTGAGCTCCATTTTCTGTCACCGACAAAGCGATACATCCTACTAAATCTGCTGTTTTCAGAGTTCTTGACACTTTACTCGATACCTTTTACCGCTGCGGTACCCCTCTCAGCCAGGGGCAACCGTGTCAGGGTACCTCTCATGCACGAGTCCAAAGCTCTTCGATCGGGTGTGCTTTCCGATGTCCCGAGAAGTATCTTCAGTGGTCCTGGAGCTTCAAAATCCGCCCATGAAAATAATGATACAGGGAACTTGAAGGTGATATCTTTGTATACGGTACCAATCCCATAGATGGGTTGATTATATGGACTCGTGCTATTTATGGTCTTACATTTATGAAAACACAACGCGTGAAAGTCGCTGCAATATAATCTCAGCTCACCTCAGCCACCTCCTCGATGATCGCCATGACCCTCTCGCAGCCTAAGGTTGCACATCAAGGGACCCCTCTCCCATATAACAAATATTTCTGGTCTTCCCACTCACATCTCTCCTCACACAGTTCCAGGTCGAAAGTCCAAAGCATCCGTGCAAGTATCATCCGCGTCTCGGCGTAAGCCAAGTCACCTTTGCATGCTCCACCCTCTTGCTCCTCGCCTCCATAAATGATCCTGGGTGAAGCGTGAGAATCGCCTTGAACACCACCGGGTACTGAAGCAGCCTCGCAGGAACGGAATCACCTCCACAGCCCCAAACATCTTCGCCACCCAGTGATGATACTCCGAGCTATCCAACCCCCCAAACGGCTCGCCAAAAGCAAGATCCGCGATTAGGTCGAACGTCGTCAGATTATACCACTTGCCCATATCCGCCGCCCTCGCCTACTTCGCGAATCCCTTCAGTCGCTCGATCAGTTTATCGATGTACTGTGTGACAATGCATACCCGTGCCTGCAGGCCCTTGGCTGAAAATGCGTGCGAGAGCATCTTGCGGAAATGACCATGGTCCACGTCGTTGGCGCCGAAGATGTCCTTGCCTCTGTTGGGGAGACTTGCACTTTTGGGAGTTGGCGGTGGCAATGTCCATAGATATCCTTCCCGGCTTGCGCGGTGACTAAGGAGACCTCATCTGGACCGGAGCGTACCACGTCGCCGTATTTCTTGTGCCAGGAGCGGAGGTCTAGGTCTAGTCTCCCGCCGATGGCTGAAAGGTGCTGCAGGAGCCGAAATGCGATCCACCATTTTGGTCTGGGGATGTGCCTTAATGGATGGAAGTAGATGGTTTTGATGCCTGGTAAGAATATATATGTAAAGTAATGACACAGCTGCGAGTATTAAGAACATCATGGCTTATCATGACTGCAAGAATCTGTTTCCAAGATCCATCGGGAATTCCTCAGTCTTAAAGCTTCTTGAATTGGGTTGTGCAATTCTCAAGACGCCGCACAAAGCAAACACAGGTCTGCTACATAGTATAGTTGTGATAACTTGATGAGTTCCATATCAAAAAAAGGATGACTATCCTTGTTGGTAGATGATTGGTATGCATAACTGTCTCATTGCACCACCAGGTCGGTTGGCAATCTGCTGACACACAGGCTGGTTGTTTCGTTTTCTGTATGAGTGTACAGTTGGACAATGTCTCAAATTCCTGCTAAGAGGGTCCTCTTAGTTGGAAACCTTGATGCTCCTTCGCTCTTACATAAACTTGCTAGAAGACAAGCCCTTAACCACCCTAAAAAGCTAATGCTTATTTCAACCTGTATCTAACCTACTCACTAGTCCCTCTGATCACCCTAACCGCATATAAAGTGAACCTGATACCGTGCTGAATCGTAACCCAGACATATATGGCTTGTATCACCATACATGTGGGCAAGTGGGCGATCTGCAGAATGCCTAGCCAGGCTGTTCCGCAACCTGGAGTTAACCTGCGTCGGATGCACACCAGGAGGCAGATACAATCTAAAGCCTACCTTAGCTGCTAAAGATGCTGTTTTATCGCCTACGGGCGAAGTAGCCATCGAGGCGGAATATATAGTTCCTGCTATCGGATATACAAATGGAATTTAAAGACCGAAGATATTATTGCAAATATTCATGACATTATCCAAGAGCTTTACCCAACAGAAACGCGCCCTACCTTACTAACATGGCAAGTGAAGGAATAGCTGTTTAAGCAATATGCTCTGCCGCTCCCATATTTCCCTCCTCCTCCTTTGATATGTATTCCCGCTGATTGGCAAATTCTGCCCATTATATTAGAATAGGAGACCCCGTGTAGGGGGAGGAGCAACTTACGGTCCACTTTAGTATGCTTGAACTTCCTTGCGGGCACGCGGTGGTGGAAGAGCAAGTCAATCTCTCCAAAGGTGCGGTCCTTGGTCTCAGGAAGACGGAACCAACACCAAATGTTGCAGAGAAGGTTGGTGCCAGCATAGAACAGACCTGTTTTTGCTCCCCAGTTCCATGCTAAAATGGTCAAGGTCAGTAGTTTTCATCCAGTAAAAAGTGTGGAATCTTACCAGAAGCAGCAATCATGCGGGGTGTAAGCGAGTTACTAAAGATGCCTGTCAGGTTGTACACAAATCTTCCAATCACAATCGTCTTATATCTTAACCGTCCCGAAGGTGTTTCGGCAACGATCGGGTAACAGACCGGTCCGACGGTAATCATATTGATGAGAGTCGAAATGACCAGAAGAACGGCGATGGCCAGCTGGGCGCCCTTGTCGCCTGCTGCGAAGCCAAGGCCACCAATGATCACGATACAGACAAACATGAGCGATAATCCGCTCATGTAAATGGTTGCGCGGCCAAAGTGCGGGAAGAGAAGCCAGCAGATGACGCCACCGATGATGTAGCATGCAGAAAGGGAGATGTTGACGTCGAATGCTTGCAGTTCCGTAAATCCAGCAGCTTCGAGAAAGACGACCGAGTAACCGAGGATGGCATTGCCGCTGAGGGTTTGAGCCGCCCAGACGACACAATTCTAGTAGACTGGTTAGCAACTAGCGCCATATTTGTAGCAAGGCTGGATGGAATCGAGCGACCTACAATTTCCGTTCGCCGCAAGTTCGTGCCCTTGAAGCATTCGAGGAAGCTTGCATCCTCTGTCTCGGCTTGCTCCAGCTTCGTGGTATGCTGGATATACGCCAGCGTAGCCTCGACCTCACGCTCTTTGTCTGGAGTATCCTGTCGAAGGCGTTTCAAGCTCTTTCTCGCCAGGTCGACCTTGCCCCGTCGGACAGCATTCCAGGGCGATTCTGGGGCCAGGTACGCTCCTATGAACAGTGGAATAGGCCAGACCCACTGCAGGACAAACGGTAGCCGCCAGCCTAGATCTCCGTCGACGCCAGCGACGGCACGAACAACCCCGGAAGACAAAAGAATGCCAGCACCCCAGCACATGCAGACATAGGCTGTGACGTACGGCCGTAGGACGGTGGGGACGACTTCAGAAGCATATGTAGTCGAGAGGGTCTATTAAAAGAATCAATATTATGCATAGAACACAGGAGGTAGACGAACCTGAAAAACTCCCCAAGAGACGCCGCACATCGCCTCACCCCAGGCCAGGATCGGCAAGGAAGGCGCGAAGACCGGGATGAAGATCATAACCGCCATCCAGGCCATGAAGAACATCATTGTTGGTCGGCAGCCAAACCGGTCCTGAGCGTAAGCGTTGACGAGCAACCCCGCTAACTGTCCTACCATGGACGAGTTCGACAACCCCGACTGCCATGCCGCTGTGATAACCTTGGTTCCGGTCTTGTCTGAGAACTCGCCGAATCGTTGGATAAACTGGGATTGACCGTAGAAGGAGGTGATCTATCAATCCTTGTGTTAGGTTTTACTCATCCTAATCAGGGGAGAAGCAATACTGACAATGACCAGGTCGTATCCCTCCATAATCAGACTGGTGGAAAGGAACATGGCCCAAAAGACGGCCTTTTTGTACTTTGACAGAGCTTGTCTCACGGTGAGTAAGCGATCAGCAGCATCACTTTCCTGCGCATGACGGATGAGCTCGACCACATCGGGGTTGCCAGGGCTGAAGTTTTTCAGCTCGTCCTCGGACGGGACAACCGTCTCGTTGCCCATGATAACGGTATCCAGATGGGATGATCAGCGATAAGATTGATAATTCCAGGGAGTGGAGACAAGAGTTCTAGTCTGCTTGACGATCTGGGGAAACGGGGCGTTATAAAGCATGGGATGTTGATCGTATCCCCACCGGAAGCAAGGAGATGAGGAGACCTCAAATGGCCTCGTAAAGTTTCTCTCCACCTCCCCCGGAATGCCATGATGCTCAGATGGCACGCTTTTTGCCACAGATGTGAAGATTAAATAACAAATAATGGATTAATAAAGAACGGAGTCGCCCGCTGGGTTCCCTCTGCCTTTTTGTTCCCGTTCTGGACCAGAAACAGATGGACCAACCCCAGGCTGTGCGGGGAAATTTCCGGGGGTGGAGACGCGAAAGCACCCCTTTGATAATGCCATTGAAAAGAGCCGTATAGGAGACTTATATGGTCAGATTCCGATAGACATAAAAGCAAGGAAGCTGATCGTGTTTCCCGGCACGCAATTGTCTAAGCTCATGGATAGCACGAGCTGGAAGTAAAAAGATCGAGCAATAAGACCGACGGCACGCATCATGAGGCCAGAATGCGGAAAAGTCCCGGCGGACTCTCAGGTGGTCAAGGCAGCCGATTCGCCAGACTTTGTGAACGGACGTTAGCGTGACTCGTGAGACACTGCCTGACAGGGATCGGAAAGCCGATCATGAGACGATGTGTCTAAGGCGAACAAAGACGGTAGATATATATGCTACCCTTCTGACCACCTTAAACTGTATTCAATGTCCAAGGTAGTTGAAAACCCCCCTACAATAGGCGATAGAGCCCAGGACCCAACCGCCATTGGCATCGTAACCTGGAACGACTTTGTCGATAATTCTGCTCGATATTGACCCTCCTGGTTCACTCCGCTGGCCCTCAAGTACCTGCCAAGTTCTTCGAGGAATAGAAGTCATCAGAACCAACACTCATCCTCAGTCCAACACACCTCTTTACGATCTTGCCTTGTCCCATACTCCCGTTTTAAACATGATGGCCTCTATATATCTCCTCGTTGCTACCCTGGCCGCTAGGTCAGTCGATCTCCGTCCATGATGATCGAGGCTATACTGACAAACTAGCAGCGTGTTCGCGGACTTGCGCACACAGGTATCTGTGTTAACAATAAGGCGACGATGTGGTACGTTGCAAACAGACCTATACTAGAACAATTTAACTCACAATGAATAGATTGTTTACAATAGAAAAGCCAAAGAAGCGTCTATACAAGCATGCTATTCTTATAAAATCGCAACACAGGAAGGCAAACAGTGGGATCGACGCACGGATTGCGCAACCAAGGTCGATAATAACGTCCTTCACTATCGCGAAACAGATGAACAGCACATGGGGGGAGATGGCATTACTACCGCAAGATGCACTGGGCGAGCGGTAGCGTAGGGTGGTGAAGGGAGCGTTCGGACGAGATCGCTGGGATTATGATTCTGCATATAAGAATTAATTCCGGGAATATAAGATATTAACATGCTGGTCAGAGAATAGCAAGTCCAGGGCTGTATGTAGTGCCTCCAGTAAGCTAATCCTGAGGGTCTCGAACGTGATTTAGTCTGTACCAAGCGGCTTCGCAAGACCTGCGGACAGGGTGATCTGGCGGACAGGCCGTTTTCGCTGACGCAAACGCAGTGTCGAATGTGTCCCGCGCAGTACGCAGCTTTCCCTGGCGCTCATAGAGCACTCCAAGCGTAAACATACTCCACAGCGTCGAGGGGTCATCGGGACCCAACACCTTCCGCTTCACATCAACCAGAGAAATGTTTAATTCTGTCGCCTCAACGCACTTTTCCTGCCACGCCAGCACATTGACCAGGTTTGCCATGCTAGCTATTGTCCTGGAATGTTCGGGACCTAGTATCGTGACTCGTCCCTGATACGCCTGTCGATTCAGATCTTCTGCCTCGGCGAATTCACCGCGTTTCTCTAGTACCTCGGCCAAATTACTGGACGTTGACAGTGTATTCGGATGATCAGGTCCCAGGACCAAAAGTGATCCCTTGAGGACGTCTCGGTGGATTTCTTCGGCGGACGAATAGTCACCGCAGCTCTGTAGCACGCCCGCCAGGTTGTTCAGTGACGTGAGCGTGTTGGGATCTACAGTATCTAGGGCGTGCTTGTCTTTCCATTGTCTTCGTGTCTCGGCTGCGAGTTTGGCGATATCAGCCGCAGCATCCGTGCGGCCATGCTCCAGCATTAGTATCGCAAAGCAGCTCATACACTGTAGCAAGTCCGTACTATTTCCTCCGATCAGTGCCACCTGTCGATCGATGGTCTCTCTGAGCAGCGATTGCGCCTGCTCCCCCCGGTCCGTCTCCAGCAGGAGCTCGCCCAAGAACCTTACACTATCCATGGTTTCTGGATGGGTGACGCCCAGTAGCCCCTCGCGAAGTGCCAGTCCCTGTCGCAATAGGCCTTCTGCCTCCTCGTAGTCACATTGATCCTTCATCACTCGCGCCAGATTCGTCATGCTGGTAATGCTGGAACTGTGTTCTTCTCCATAGTGCGCAATATACGCCCTCATGGCTCGTTCTAGCATCCGGCGCGCTGCGTCATATTTCCTTTGTTTTTGCAACAGTAACCCAAAATCATTGAGAAGCCGCAAGGTAACAAGGTCATCGCTCCCGAGGACCTCGTCGGCAGTCAGCAGGATGTTTTCGTACATCGTCGCAGCTTCATCGACGCGGTCCTCCTGCTTCAGGATCCCTGCCAGTGTAGTGGCTGTTCTCAACGTTTCGCGATGGCCATCCCCAAGAAGCTGGCTCTGCCCGTCCAATGCACGCCGTGCGGTTTCCTCGGCTTGCATCAATTGTCCCCTCTCCCAGAATGCCTCCGCGGCGAGACTGAGGTCTTTCAAACTGTCTTCTTGGGTGGCTGCTGCAAACATGTTGGAGGCCTGTTTTCGAGGGTTGATGTTGTGAGAATTTCATCGCCGATGGAGGGGAAGATTTGACTTTTAAAGGATCGTCCCTCGTATTCGTGGACTTGGCATCAGTCAATGTTTTCAGTCACGATCGCAAAGATCAGGACCTTTCAACGCCAGGAGTTTTTTCTACGAGGCCTGCCACTAATCAGGATCTGCCTTGGATTTTAGTGAAGATTGAAATTGCTCTTTAATGCGCTAGTGAAGACTGGCCGGACGTCTACTCTTTTTCGTATTTCCATATAGCTCTAGATATATAATCTACAGATTTATGTCTCTTTAGGTTTGTTTGATGTCAACTTTTGCAATAATTTGTTCAAGGCGTTACTACGAATCCAGGAGTGGCCAATCTCGTTGTGTCCAATACTTGCATTAATACATTGTCGCGAAAGAGTTCAGATACGACGGGATATTCTAATGGTCTAACATCACTTTAACCACGGCTTTCATGCGCCCCCCTTTGTTTCTTTCAAGTATCATCCAATATACAAGGAATAATTGCTTTCTGAAGAGTTGCCCCTTCGTTACACAGCGCTACCCCTTTGGTGTCCCGATAATTTGACTGGAGTAGCCTTTTAGGCGAGAGTAATAACAAAAGGGCCACACTTAGAATCTTCGCAAACTGCCTGAACTCAAAAGGACAAGTATGTGTGATTCTTTTGCTCATGTGTGATATGCTCCACCTCTCCCAGCTCTCCAAACAATCGATAGCATATTGAAGGAAATCCGCGAACACAGGACGTTAAGGGTGTCAATCATTGTTCAGTACAGATCGTAGAGAGCTTGAAACTGAACAGGGAGCCAAGTCGAGGCTTCTCAAAAGATCATCGAAGCCTGAGCAACGTGCGGCTGCTTTCCCCTGGATAAGATTGGAATCCCATCTCCGTCGACCCTCCAGTGCTCATGCGTTGTGGAGTTGGAGTCCAGTCCATTGGTCTCGAATTGGTTAAGATAGTGTCCAAAAGAAGACAATTTTCACACAGTAACAACACTCCGCTAAAGTGTCGCCGCAAAGAGAAGGATCGAGGAAAGTTTTAAACGTTGAGTCGTAAGGAATGCCTCCTAAGACACCACCTTTGCAACGTTAGCCTTGAGCTGATCGAAAGCTACTTCAGTGGTAAAGCAACCAACTTACCTCATTTATTGTGGCCTTCTGCTCCAGCAGATCGAACTCTCTGCCTCCATGATGTGGCTTCCAGCCATTGCCCAGATGCCAACACCTGATTTCGTCTGTGGCTCGATAATACTGGAAGAACCGCACCCTTCTTCCGATCGCCAGGATTCCATACGCGGGGCGTTGAGGGCCGCAGCGGTTTTGATGCTGCATCCTGAGGTATCACAGGAGCTGGCCTGCCCCATCTGACCAAACAGAATCCTGGCCTTCGCCGTCCGCAGACTTGCACTGCGTTATGAGAAAGGAACGGCGTGTTCCCCAGCTATTTCCAGGGAATTAAAGTCCGAAAAGCCCCTGGCCCCTCCAGTTTCAGTGTGTATTGCCTGGGACTGCGTGATGAACCCATTGACTGGGTCAAAAACCCAGTTCAATATGGAGTTCCAGACTCTGTTGACGTCCCGTTCCGCACTGTGTTGGTTTAGGGGACGTATCCCAGTAGCTATGGCCGGGATACACTGTATTAGCACCCGTTAGTCAAAATAGACGTTTCCATCGGAGTACAATACATACAATGCTTGTAGCAAAATTTGACCGATAACAGTCATATCGTCGTTGAGCTCATTCTTTTGGTGGGCCTTTGAAGAGAGTGGTAGAAAGAAAGAAAGAGAAACACTCGAGCAGACTCTGGGGGCAGGAGGCTTAATATATCTGCATGCTACCTGCCCAAGATACTGGGAAGTTGAGAAGATAGTGAATATAGCGACACTTGATAGTGAATATAGCGACATTTGATAGTGAATACAATAGCCAGCCACAGGGTAGTGAATACGGCATATGGGAGAAGACTCTCTCACTAAGTACAACTAAAAGGATTGAGAAAAGAAAGAAAAGAAGAAAAAGAAATAAATTAAACAAATTAAAAAACAATCTAGCACACTGAGCACATCCTAGCTAGTTGATATCTTGGGACTATGAGAGAATTCCCCATGGTACATATCCAAGCTTCTACATCACAATCACTGGCCGACGTCCTCATTCAAGAGGTGGAGAAAATTCTCCTTGATGCGACCGAGCAGCGTCAGTGTTCGAGCACGATTCTTCAACCCACTAGTACAGCACCAATCATCGTCTAAGAGTAACTCTTCGATTCCCAGGCACAGTTCTGTCCAGTTTACCGCAGTTCCGGCCTTGATCAGGTCGTCAAGTTCAAACAATAGCTTTGTGTTGCATCGTGTTTGCCAGTAACTGTTAGGCAATCTCCATCGAAAAGCTTCGAGCAGATTACGTACATCGCTAATGCGCCGTCGACTGTGAGGCTGAGAGTCGTAAACTAAGTCCACAATAGTCACGGCAATATCCAGAGGCAGGCAGAAACCCTGTGACTGGGTTCTATTTTGTCCTTGACCAGAATCGTCCTTTGAAGGCTGCATATTTTGAGTGATCAAGCGTTGTATGCCAGGAATTCTCAATGGACTCCCAAGGTGATGCTGCCTGCCCTCAGACCAATTTACAGCGTGTGCCCGGTGCTTGGAAGACCCAGCCTTGGTAGATGAACGCTGTTGCTTGAGCCAGTGTGCGAAATACTTATAACAGATCCTATCGTTAGACCAATGGTCCAAGCAAACAGCCCAGTGCTTCCTGTTTTCTTTCCAAAACTCTTCAACAGCGCGGACAAAGATTTGGCATGATGAGATCATGTCCAAAAAAACGTTCGAGGAGCAGCCAGCAGTGGGCATGAATCGGATACCCTATACGTGTCCCTTCCTCTCGATTCCTCTCTGTCTCGAACAGATTTGCTATGTGGAAGCTAACATTCCAATAGTTCTCTTTCGCCGCCGAATTCTTGACCAGAGCCCTCTGGGGGTTTCTCGGGACCGGACCTGGCCAGCAATTTCCGTTTGAGATTCCAGACAAGGACGTCTGGCTTGTCTGCGGATCTTCGAGAACTAGATAGGTTGGCTCAATCAGCATGATCATCTTTGAGAATCTGTCGGCGTTGTGACTAACTTGCTCGAAACCAACCCGCCCACACATGGGGATATTTCACAAACTCCATCTGCTCCAACTCTTCGGCTGGGACGGTTACACATCTCCTCTGACTCTTGTTTGCAAGCTTTGCTAAGTCCTCTCGCTCCCGAAATACTTTGCAGAGTTGGTCAAATGGGATCTCAACCCCACAGATCACGCAGCAAAATTTTGGACCCCGCTTGACTGGATAGAACGTGACGGTACCCATCTTGCTTTGTGTAGCACATCAACGTATTGCTACTGACAATGTGCATCTCGCAAGAGTGCAATAAGAAACTTGTAATCTTCAAAGTGATGTCATGTTTAGCTGATCACGGTAACTGGCACATAATAGTGATGTCAATGGATATGTAGCTCATCACAATATCTGCTTACCAACTAATTACTCTAATAGTTGAACTAAAAAAATAACTAACTAGCTTAGACATTCAATTCCTTGTCTAGAGACTCCAGACAGCCACAATAGAGTGTTTATAAACAGCACCCAGCTGCTGTTGAGGTTTTTGGCCTATCACTTTTGTTTACAATAACCGTGAGCGCCCAGTGAAGCATTCAGTAAATATCTTAGAGCTACTGGGGGGCAATAAGTTCTAATATCAGTCCTTGACATTGACGAGGCTAATTCATGAACAGCCTTGTCCAGCAGGGCTTCCTCACATACTGCTGAGCTGCGTGCTATTCCCAATGACCGATGTTTATTTTTATATAGGATCGAGAGTGCTTGCCTCTCTTTTTCCTGTTCAATGTTCAATCAAACCATCATGAACTTCACCGGCTTTAAGCCTCACCCAGGCTATGACAGATCCCAAACACCTATTCTAACTGACTCGTCACGTAGACAAAGGCTTCAAGAGCCTTCAGAGCATCACCACCCACGATACAAGACCTTGCGAGACGGACACCATCCTTCCATTTACCGCCAGAGGGACCCCTCTCTGCAATGCCATCGTCTTGCAAAGTACCACAGACCCCGGAAACAACAAAAAGCGCGGCCACATGCATAAGCACACACTGCAAAACAGGGTCGTCGCCAGACAACTGATTATGTAGAAGCTGCGAGAGAACACCAGCCTCCTGGTGAGAACTACCTTCTGCCTGAATGCTGGCCAGCGGATTCTCCGATAGCCCAAAGTCCTCCGGCTGAAGGCGAAAGTGCTGTATTCCGGGGCTGGTGCCCTCGGCGGGTCGATCCGTCAGCATCCAGCATGAGGTTGAACCCTCCGGACTGATAATATCCATTGAGTCGTTCCCACAGACCACGAGGGCTTTCCGAACTCCCATGTCTCGAATTGCCTGTGCCATAACAGGGCCGAGGACTGGATTCGCTACACCGACTACTCGGGCCTCCAGGCCGCAGCCGGCATTGAGTGGATGGAGCAATGTACTCGTTAGGTCGAATACCGTCCTGATTCCCAGTCCTAGACGGATGCGATTGGCATGCTGCATTCGCGGAAGAAAATTGCGCTCTGGGAGAAACGAATAATTGCTGTGCTTGTAGATTTCGGGAATGTATTTCGCGGTGACGTTTGCGAGGGATGGAGTGTACGGTTTGATATCCGCGATGATGTCCTCAGGGTTGGCCGAGGGGGCTGGATAGGTAGCGCTCAAGTAGCCATGCTGGGCGATGAGGAGCTTCGCCGACGCGACGACGGACGCCATGGCAGCCACGGAAATGATCGCCGTTGCATTTCCTCCTGTTCCGGAGATATCACACTGTGGTCATTCGAAAAGTTAGCTCTTATATTAACTGCAAGCTGTTGATGGCTGAAACGTGCCAGCCCACCCAGATATTCCCCGCAAGCTTTGTTTCGGTCCGAAATGACTCTGTTTAATGCAGCCGCATCGACTTTTGCCTGTGCCGCGGCCAGCGAACGAATACACTCTGAAATCACGATAATATCCTTGTCTTTCTCTCGGAGATGCAGTAAACTCAGGAGAGCGGCTGCTTGGAGTTCATTCAGCTTGTCATCCAGGAGCAAACACAAAGCATTGGCGATCTCAGCGGCTAAACCCGKGTCTGATGCATTCAATGGTTGCGCCAGCTTTTTTAGTGTCGGGTCGATTGACACATATTGTGAACTGCTTGGTCGTGCCATGATGAGCAAATATGCCTTATAACGATCTGTGTGTTCCACCACTGCTGCAGGGATTGGGTGGTTAGTCTGGGTGGGAAAAGTCAGGGCCGCAACACACTTTAAATATGCACAGTATGCACAGCCCATACGCATGCTCTAATATGCTAAGGGAAACAACTATATGACTGTGACTCATCAATTCCAGACTAACTAGAGGGGTAAATGGTGAATTTATACCTGGTAGATAACCCGGCCCTCAGTTGGCCCTCAACCCTGACTTGCCAGCGGTCCGAGACTTGTCTCGGAGATCTCTCATGTTGCTTCAGATAAAGAGAGTCATTACTTTTCAAGATGACCAGAAACTGGTGTTTTACTTTTCGACTACTTGCCACTAACTGGAAGAGTGATCACAGCCTCCGCGAGGAAGCATTTATTCCGTGATCTATTACTATATTTCCTCGCTTGATAAATCAACCTTGAATCGTTTGCGGATCTCTTGGCATGCTTTCAGCACCACAGCACGGCTTTTTCTGGAAATCACTAAGACGAAAGCTAGGAATGCGCGAGCATCCGCTGTGAGGGGGTGAACTTAGTCTCCTAGCCTGGAAAAAGATTGGCTCCTCACAATATGGGCTTTCAGCTCTAAATGGCGGTCTATAAGTGTCTCGTATAGGTCCCGAGTCGTACAAATACCTCCTTGCCGATCATTGTTAACAATGAACACGATCTGGAACCTCACCGGTTCGCTCGGTGGATGTACGTGTTGGGTGGGAAAATGCATGGATGCTCGCATCGTCTTTTTGACATGCTAAGAGATGGAGGACCATGTAGTCAATTCCATATGTGTTCCGCGTAGCATAAAGGAATTGGAATCCAGGAGGCCTGGGGTTAATCTTGGTTAGGAAATAGGTGGATTTGGCCAAGCAGTCAAATATAATCAAGGTCCTGTTGGCGATACTAGGCCTCTTCATCAAAAAGGATGCACTCAGCAACCAGTGACTTCCTCAAAGCATTATAGAAGAGATACATCATTCCCATCCACAACGGCAGCGTTACACTCGAGGGATTGGCATTCTGCGCGACGTCGCCCATTGGAGTACTGACCTTGAGGCGTAGAGGTTGCCGATGTTTGCTGATGATCAGCCTATATCAAGCAGTTAGGACTATAGATTTCTACCTTCTCGCGATATCCAGTGTCATTGAATTAAGGTACTAGGGATACTACCCTGTCCAAAAGGTCACTTAGAGCTAAAGATGAATTATGTTGGACATTATCACTCTGAAGTATATATAGGGTGAAAACTTTCTATCTACAAAAGTTGAAGTCTCTATATGACATGATGTAGGGTTTAGTAAATTTTATTATAGCATATTACAGCAAATTGGTCTATGATCATTTCTAGTAGTCAATATTACTCTTTAGAATTATATACAAACAAAAAAGTGTAGACCCTTCTAGGTCATTGGATAAAGAGACTATGCCCCCAAAGCCCCATGATCAAGACCAAAGATAACTAGACAGAGCCTATCCACAAGATGTTCGACGACGTTTTGGCATATAGCTCCTCTGTCTCAAAGTAGGTCTAATACATCTCAAATATAATTAAGATCCCCCTAATTCCCCAACCGCATTAGCAATGGTAGTTCTAGTACAAATTTTATTTTGGCTGGTGTGTACAACTGTCCGTCGTAATTATTCACATGACGATAATACAGTAAGGCAATGACTGCTCACTGACTGAGTACTCCCAGAGTCATTTGCGCATTAAGACCTTCATACCACACCTTCTACCCTCTGTCAGCTAGCCATCACATTTTTGCCTCACTATCAATCCAAGAGTTGTCCATGGCGCAGCAGAGAACAGGATTGTATACTAAATTTCACTTAGCACTGCTAATTGTGACAATGTACGGTACTTACGGCACTAGAACATTTAAGTAGTATTCATTAGCAGCATTGCTATCGATATCCTCAGGCGTCAACGTGCTCGTTAGGCAGTATTCAATAGCGTGCAATAATTTGTCGCCGTTTTCAGATCTGATCTGAAAACACAGTTCCGCCACTGAGAGCATTTTATTGTGATGAGCAAAGCCGAGATCGATGATAGCATTCTCAGAATTCCTTCGGACATCTACTAATGGAGAACCCATCGAAATCTCAGTGAGCAGAATCCCTAACCGTTGCAAATGTAGCCTTGCACTAAAATCCCCCCCACGCAGGTCTGGACATGAATGCGAATGCGTGATACCTCCTAGAGCAAGTAAGTAGGAAAGCTTGTCATTCGGCGTAAAGCTTTGCAGAGCACAGCTGCATATGCCAGTGAACCATTCCGTTTTCAGAAATACCAACATACACTCAACAAGGTCTGTAATGAAGCCACTTTTGAAAGCATATCCAAGTAGCCTGGTGGGGTTTACGGAGGAACTGAGGAGGTCCCTTAAGCTTTGCGGACCTTGACTGGGTTCATGGTAAGACTTAGGCTCGTCGCAAATATCAACCATAAATTCCTTCCTTTCGCCGATCCCATGGGTTTTCTCCACAGCCTGCCCGATCAACTGATGGATTGATGGAGGCAAACTCATCTGTATTCGTGGCACGCTTGCAGTCGTTATTTCAGTAGTGAAATTTACCAGCCGGTTATCGGTTTGGTTGGAGACCCTGCCAAACATGTTCAAGTCTAAGGTGTTGTTTAATGTTGATTCATAGATTGTTCTTGATCGAGAGGAAGTTGCGTGTTCATCAAATAGCTTGAAACTGAGCCACAATTCCAAGGGACCAGCAACTGCATCGTTGCATAGCCGAAACACGATTCCTAAAGCTGCAGTTGCCTTTGTAGAGAGTTTGACGAGCAGATACTGACTGCCAGTTCGATGGATGATATCTGTTGATAGTTCTGAATTGTGTAGGGGGATTCGCCGTTGCGCCAAGAAACACAGATCGGAAATATCACTTAAAGCAGTCATCTCCCTCTCAGAGGTTGTCGTAAGCTCATCGAATGTCTTCAGTGCTGGCATAAACCAAATTTTGTACAGTAGGGATGGCCAAAAGGCAAGGATTCGATACCTTTCTCTTAGACCGATTAGTTTTCTGACTCTTGTTGCTCGACTCATTAAAGCTTCGGCAATATGATGAATCCTCAGTATGTGTGACTTGATATGCTGAGACCCAGAGACCCCCCAAAAATGCGTTGGGAGTATTTCGGAGTCATCAAGCTCCCATATCATCCAACGGTGCTTCCAAAGCTGTACACGAATCTTCAGGCCCATAAGAATAGAGTCGATATGTTGTAAATAGAAATTGTGTAGATCGCTTTGAATCGACTGTAGACCGCTCCGAATTGCATCGTAATAGGTGATAACTTCTGTTGTTAAGGCGAAAATTGAACGTTGCGGGGACGCCTCGCTCAACAGAATATTAAGGGCCCTTCTTTCAGACCTTTCTTCAAAGTCCCAGACGCTAGGCACCATTGCAAGGGCTCTGATGGGCTCCTTTAAATATGTAATCCTTTCCACCTCTCGAGAAATTCTGGTCTTAAGAATACTATAATCGTTAGGATGTTGATTCATATCGACATCATTTAAAACCAATGATACTAACTCCTCGCAACCAGTCTTAGCGCTTCTGATGGCATGGAAAAGTACATTGCGCATCACAAAATCGTCGGACAGCACATTAAAACCTGATGGTGAAATTTGACTCTTCCACAACTTTAGTCGAACCAATACATCGTGAAGAAATATTGCTGAAGCTTCAGAGCGCTCAAAAAGCATGTTACTTGAGCACTTCGTCTCGAGATATCGAATGAAGCTGTCAAAGGCACCGTTTATGTTTGACAATTCCATGGGTTAATGTTTGGAAGGTGTATAGGTTTCTGGATTAAACGGTCTTCTGTGTCTCGAATAAAATGTCGAATAGTCTGTCCACGACGAGATCTCCCGTTGTTGTTGCAGTCAAGATATATTATATTAGAATGGGTAAAGGAAAAAGACTTGTATTCCCTCTCTTGGATCAGTGACCGCTAGATTGCTACAGTGAACGTGTCATTGATAGTGCCTACAGAGTAGTCATCATCACTGGAATGCCGTTTGCAGTAATAATCTAGACCCACAAGAGATATCTAAAGATACGCTGATTGACTGCTGAAATACATTTTTAAATGGTTATGAGGTAACATGGAAGACGAGTGATAGTAGCCTCATGAAACTCCAGTTCAAAACGCAAATATCCTGAGGTCAGGTAGATGCATGCGGAGTTCAAAAGATGGTGATGTCACATATTAGTGACGTGAACGGAGGTCAAACACGTTGGACGGGATGGTTAATACATCCTTCCCTCATGGAAACCCCTAAAAGTTCTGCTGTCTAAAAAAAAGAATTGGAGCGATAAACCCGCTACTACCTCCACTCGGCTGTTTAAATATTTGAACAATTGTTTCTGCATGGAGATAGAGTAGTTCCTGAGGAAAGCCAACTGTTGAAACTCACTTTGGGTGTTGATTGAGATTGCAGCAGAGAAGAGATCAGTAGACGTCTCTACTCCCACCGATCTTCAATTCAATATGGAACCTATCACGATATTTTCCACATGTCTTACAATACTGGGTATTTTCCTAAGTACGATAGAATCACTAGTGGACAAAGGTCAGCAAATAGTCAACCTGCAGGAAAGGCTAGAAAACGGATACGCAGCGTTTCATTCGTGCGTGACGAGTTTCTGCATCTGGCATCGCAAGTACAAGCAGTCAAGTTGCAGAGAACTGTTTGGTAAAAGTTGGGTGATCATTAAAGCCAGGGAAAATGCGATAAAAAAGCAACTGGAAGTTGTCCGACGGTCTCTTTTCCTTGGCTCTCCCATTGAGGCAAAGCTACCATTGACGCAGAGACTTAAAACTATGATCAACAGCATCTCAAACAAAGAGAGAAAGAAGCAGAAAGCAAGGTGCTCATTCCGGGGTGACGATGATGTCGACCTAGATATTGACCCAACTGGAGGAGACATGGCAGCAGCACAAACAGAGTGGCAGCAGTTTGTGAAATGCCTTCAAGGAGATGAAGCCAGTAAGAGGCCCAGCGCCACGATCGTTCGGAGAATCCTTGGAATGCTGTATAGGAACAAGCAACTCGACCGCAAAATTACAGAGCTCAGAACGTCCGTGACTGACCTGATTACGTTCACGAACAACAAGTGGGAGCTTTGCGTCTCTGGACCGGGGCATTACACAGCTATCCAAGCAGCGGACCTTCGCCTTGACGCAATTCAGATTCAAAAAGCCGCGGATGAGATATACACTACATGTCAAAGAACTAGGGAATCTGACCCAGGGGCTGAGTGGGCAGTTGAGTTATGTCTACCACGGGATTTGCGGAAAGAAGCAATCATTAAGGATATGATTAATGAGCGTAGAGTCATATTTGGCGTGAGAGGTGCGAAAAATGAGGGTCCTCAGGCAATTTCCGAGGTTCGGATGACAAACCTACGACTCCTCCCTGCAAGCTCATCCACATTAATGCTTCAGTCCGCGATGGATCAGATTCAACGATCTCAAAAAGCTATAATTAAAATGGAAGGAATAGGTCACTTCGAGCTTCGGCGAGGCAGCGCAGCTAGCTTGCAGACGAGGACATGGCGCTATATTCTCACGAAAACCAAAGACGATGAGTCGGCCAAAAAAGCACTTTCTCTTGAAAGAGCGAAATTAGCATTTGGGATGGTGATGTGGATGATTTATCTCTGGAAAACTAAGTGGTTTTCCAATCTTTGCACTTGCGGTTTCAAATGTGTGGCTTTCGACACGCGCGGTGTTAGAAAGCTGTCTCCAAAACCCGAGAGCGGCGTGGCTAGAATTCAGAACAACGGCGTTTCTACATCGAGGGAGCCTGCCGTTTCAACGCTACGTCTAGAGCATATCTTCAGACCTTATCCATCTACAACTCAAACTTGCCCATGCCGGCCAGGGCTCTCAAAGAGTGGGAAGATATTTTTTTTGGGTACAACGCTGGCAGAGCTGTTACTTTCGGAGCCTATTGATATAGATATAATAGATGGCCGATTGATACCATCGGCAACGTCTCGGTTCGAAAACGAGCTCGACGTATGTTACGCATTGGAAGAACGCGAAGGCCCGGAAAGAGAGATGTTCACTGTTGTACGATTTTGCTTCGAGAAGGCGCAAGATAAACAGTGGACGGTGGATGAGGAGATGTTTCCGGAAGACCAGGTTCAGGCTCTGATAATCAATGTCCTGGAACCGTAAGTGCAATTCCGCCTGGATAAATCATGGGCCTTCCTTACGGACTGCTTGCTATAGATCTTCATTCTGGGAGCTGGTAATGCTCACAGGACATCTAATAGCAGCAGCTCCCCTATGGTCATCTAGTGGTATGGACTAACTGACAAACCGGCTGTGGCAGAATCGGGCAATATTACAAGGTACTACAAGAGGATTTTGTTGAACCGTGGCATACAAAGTCATTGGAGAAAGTACGCCTGTTCGCAAACGGTGTGCCGGAAGGATAGAAGCGAACATTCAACGTCAATACAATAGCCACCGAGAATATGAGACATCGCAGCCAGCCACCTTCATTAGGAGGCCCTTTCATACCATCAAACATGCGCATACTGTCGAGATGAGTTTGAGCGTACTCTCATGGCAGCTAGAAGCCTTAACCTTCTGTGAGGAGATGGGGCTCTTTACTCATTATCATACCCCGGATAAACTCCAGGGTATATGGGGTAAGATTGGGTGCAATCCTGTGTTGTAGGAATTTGACCGACAAAATCGGCCGGGATGTTTTGATTGGGCTGAGGGGATTGATCATCTGCAGCCGCTGGTTTTGTAGAAGCCCACTTATTGGCTTGCTGCACGGAGACGATATTGGTATAGAAACTTATGGAAGCGTGGGACGTAAGATAGCCGACTCATCTCCAGTAGTATATGTTCGCTGCCATGTAAACGCTCTCAAATGACTGAACATTTCCATATCCAATGATTTCGGCTTGGGTAACAACAGACCTGGCCTATTCGCCGTCGATTGGGAAAAATTCTCTCATTCGCTTTCTATCATTGCAGACACGGACGTCAAATCCAGTATCCCCAATCCAGCTATCGTACGATTCGTATGCCTCAGGCTCGGGGTCGGTAACCGTTGGGAACTCTGAAGTCATTGGAATCCTGGTTCCTTCGTATAGGTGTATCAGTAATATGCGAAATAAGTTGAACGAGAGAAGTGAAACGGGAGGCAGATATATATGACGCGTGGTTGTTGTGGCATGATATGCATGCTTGTTGGATGACAGAGAGGAAAGAGAGAGGTAATTGTCATATATGACGCCTTCCATGGCAAAGATGGCCAAAAAGCTAAGTCTTTTAGTGGAATAGTGTCTTTTTTGCTTGAATTGATTGGGGCCTTGACAACTGAAGAGTGACTCGAGAGATCCCCTGTAACCCCACGTTACATCAGCACCAGTCCCATTGTTATCATCACTGAATCTCTGGAGAAGTAAATCTCGGCTGGAATTCAACATGATGTCTATGAGCAAGGCCTGCTAATCTCTGCTTTGCCTATCTTTCTCATATCTTGCACCATATAACGGGTTTGACCGCATCATCCCGGGCCTTTGTTGTCATTCCTGGAATCCCCCGAACGCACAATGCCTTCATCATGTCTACAAGCAGATCACTCCTGGGGACCGACATTGCCAACACCTCGTTATGGAGGGTTTGACTTCATCATCTACTTTGAACAGATCTGGCTTTCGACTATGCCATCAATCTTGTTTTTGGTTTCCAGCGGTCCTCGGCTGTGGCAGCTCTGCCAAGCACCAGTGGTGATACGCAAATCGAGGAGCCAACTCGTCAAATTGGTAATACACCATTTTCCAGCATGTATCGGAGTAAGCTGACTGAGTCCTTTGTTTGACTCTATTAGGGCACTATCAGCCTCCCGATCGCTCTTCAATTGGCACTACTTACCCTTTGGTCTTTGAGGACGTCCCTCCAAACGTCTGCTTCCATCCCAGCTGCTGTCTTCTCGTTGGTTGCTGCACTTGTGCTTGCTCTTCTCTCCTATTATGAGCACCAGCGATCTGTCAGGCCGTCCACGTTACTTAGCATTTATCTTTTCTTTTCAGTCCTGTTTGATGCCGTCCAAGCTCGATCGTTATGGCTTCGCAACACCAATGCCCCGATCGCAGCTCTATTCACTGCGGCATTGGTGATTAAATTGATCATCACTTTCCTGGAAGGGCGAGAGAAATGAGCATATTCACAAGTACTAGGCCTCAAGACGTCACCTGAGACCACCAGCAGCATATATAATCGCACAGTTTTCTGGTGGTTGAACCGTCTGGTTCTCGCTGGTTACAAGAGTACCCTGCGCTTGAACGACTTGTATCCGCTTGAATCAGATATGACCTCAGCAAAGCTAGTCGCTGCCATAGAAAATGCCTGGACGAAAAGTAAGGAAGCGAACTGAGAGCTAGTGCTACAGCAGTAACAGGACTAATATCGACCAGCCAAGCAAACCAGGCCGTATCCTCTGCTTTTGACAACTGCAGTCGCACTAAAATGGGCCTTGCTCTCCCCAGTGGCCCCCCATATTGCGCTGATTGGCTTCAAATACCGCCAGCCACTCCTGCTGGCAAGTGTGGTCAACTATGTGCAGCTCCCAGATACAGACCGTGATAGAAAGGTCGGCTACGGTCTGATCGGAGCAACAGCTATCGTGTACATTGGAATAGCAGTAAGTCTGCAAACTAGTACAAGAGGTAAAATGGATGGTGCTGATCCTATCATTAGGTGAGCACTGGACTTTACAATCTCAAAGTATGCCGATCCACCGTCATGATACGCGGCTCGCTTGTGAGCATCATCTACCGCAAAACGTTGAGACTACATCTCAACGAAGCCAAATCTTCCGCCGCATTAACTCTGGCTAGTTCAGACGTGGATCGTATTGGCCTAACCGTTGAAAGTGGCCATGAGATCTGGGCCAGTAGCATTGAAACCATATTAGCCCGCGTGCTGCTGCAACGGCAATTAGGCTGGGCCAGTATTGCCCCTGTATTACTCGCTTTGCGTATGAAGTCCATTCAATCTCCCATGTATCACATACTGACCAGCTCAACTCAGTGGCTACCACCGCAAATACGCGAATTGCAAAGTATGTCCCACGGCGCCAACGGGAATGGGGCGCTGCGATCCAGAAGCGGGTAACCCTCACATCATCAGTCCTCAGAAACATGAAAAGCGTCAAGATGATGGGCCTGCAGGAGACGATTGCTCGGACGATCCAAAGGGCCAGGGTCTACGAGCTGGATCTGTCGAAGCGCTACCGGAGTTTCTTTGCGTACATGGCCATTATCTGTTGGTTCTCCGCCCGAGAGCACGAGTAATCCACTAATCTCATGACTCTAGCAACCATACCTTTGCAATTTTCTGCACCTTCGCCTTTGCCATCTATATATGGTGTCAACTCACACCATGGACATGACTCCATCGCAGCACAAATCTTCGCCTCACTTTCACTGACTCAGCTGCTCGCTACTCCATTGCAAAAGGTCTTATCGTCCATTCCGTCATTTGCAGGGTCCCTCGGTTCCTTCACACGTATAGAGTCTTATCTTAGGCTTGACGATCGTGTCAATGGCGGGGCTACCGACCTTGCAAATAGCCGAGAGAGCGCGAAGGAGTCAACTATAGATGAAAACCAACTTGAATTGGGGAACCTGGGGACGACAGGGAGAAGCAAAGCTATCGGTAAACATGCAATTTCAGTGCAGCAGGCCGACATCTCCTACTCCGCGGACTCGCATCCAATCCACCACAAACACAACTTTGAAATTCGGAAAGGCCTCTTAAACGTAGTCGTTGGTCCTGTGGGTTGTGGAAAAACCACACTACTCGACGCTCTCCTCGGCGAGATTACGATTTCCGGTGGCAAAATGATGGTAGATGATTCTCCAATTGCCTATTGCCAGCAAACTCCCTGGCTCATTAACGCCTCTGTCAAAGAGAACATTCTGAATCAATCTCCGTACGACGAGCCTTGGTATAAGAGGGTGGTATGGTCCTGCGGACTGAACGAAGACATTGAACAACTGCCTGATGGAGATGATACTCTTGTTGGAAGCCGGGGAACCATTCTCAGCGGTGGACAGAAGCAGCGACTGGCCCTCGCCCGGGCAGTCTACGCTCGAGCACCATTAGTCGTCCTGGACGATACCTTGAGTGCTCTCGATGCGCGAACTGAGAGAGTGATTTTTGATCGTCTGCTGTCCAAAACGGGACTCTTCCAGCAGCTGGGATCGACGGTCATCCTGGTCACTCATTCAGTGCAACATCTTCGATCTGCGGACAATATCATTGCGTTGGATTCCAAAGGACGTGTCGAACAACATGGCTCATTCACAGAGCTTAGCGGTCAAGAGGGACCCGTTCGACGCCTGCTAGCTGATTGTCCTCCAGACAAGAGCAGTGCAGAAACTAACAGCTTGGAACCGGCTTCTGGTTCAGGGTCTTTAAGCCAAGCTGGAGCCGGAGCAAATGCATTGCCGCGTGCTGCTACTATCACGTGCGTAAAAAGGAAGCCTATATCCGATGCAGCTGTCTTGATGTATTACCTGAAGTCCATTGGATGGTACCGCGCGTCGATATTTTTCCTTACAAGCCTGGTATATGTGGTTTGCACCAGCTTCACCCAAATCTGGGTCCAGTGGTGGACGGAATCTAAGAATCGCGGTGATGGGTCCTTCGTAGGGGTCTATTTTGCTCTGGCAGTTGGAGCCATCGTGAACTATAGTTCGTCCATCTGGTGCATGATGATCACTATCGTGCCCATTTCGGCAGCGAAACTGCACTGGCAGCTCCTTGATTCCGTTATTCATGCGCCCGTGTCATTCTTCTCATCTGTAGATTCGGGGATCACCCTCCACCGATTCAGTCAGGACATGTCACTGATCAATAGTCGCCTACCTGTATCTACAATGCAGGCAACACCGATGGCCTTCCAAGCGCTAGCACAGATCGCCCTTATAACCGTTGGGTCTACCTACTTGGCCATTGCTATTCCCTTGTGCCTCGGTGCAACCTGGACTCTACAACGATTTTACCTTCGAACGTCGAGGCAACTCCGCTTACTGGACCTTGAATTGAAATCTCCCTTGTCCTCAAGCATCTCCGAGACTCTCGAAGGTCTCCCAACAATCCGCGCCTTCGGCTGGCAGGAGAAATTCGAACGACGGAATCAGGAACGGCTAGACGCCTCGCAGCGTCCAGTCTACCTCCTCTACTGCATCCAGCGCTGGCTCAATTTTGTCCTTGATCTCATTAGTCGGGGCACTGGCTATTCTGCTGGTCAGCCTGGCGACTCAGTTGCCGGGCAGCACAAGCGGGGGCCGTCTGGGTGTTGCGATGCTCAACATCCTCGGTTTCAGTCAGAGTTTGTCTCAGTTCATCTTCTTCTACACGGACTTGGAGACTTCGTTGCAAGCGGTTTCCCGAGTTAAGGAGTTTGTGGAAACGACCGTGTCGGAAGAAGCGAGCCCCAGGTCTCTGACTCCACCGCCAGAAAACTGGCCTGCTCGCGGCGCGGTGGAGTTTCGTGATATCACGGCTTCATATGCTAGTGACACGGAAAACGCTGTTCTCAAGCGTCTTTCACTGATCATCCAGCCTGGGCAAAAGGTCGGAATATGTGGCCGGACAGGCAGCGGCAAGTCCTCCTTGCTTTCTGCTCTGTTCCGCATGATTGAGCTTCGGAGTGGTAGCATTACTATTGACGGTATTGACCTTAACAACATATCCCGGCTGGAGGTACGTTCACGGTTAATTGCGATCCCACAGGATCCATTCTTGCTACCTGGGACAGTCCGTTTCAATACGTCGCCGGACGAAACAGTTGCAGACAACCAGATCATCAAAGCTCTCAAGAAAGTGGGGTTGTGGGAGCACGTTCAGAAGCGCGGTGGCCTTGACACCGATATCGATATTCTGGCTCTGTCACATGGCCAGCAGCAGCTCTTTTGTCTTGCGAGGGCAATGCTGAGGCCTGGCACTATTCTCGTACTAGACGAGGCAACTAGTAATGTTGACTGGGGAACTGATGAGGTCATGCAACGGGTTATTCGAGAGGAGTTTGCGAATAAGACGATCATCACTGTTGCGCATCGCTTGAGAACTATTCTGGACAGTGATTTGGTGGTAGTGCTCGGTGAGGGACGTATTCTTGAGGCAGGCCACCCCGGGGAACTGCTTGCGAGTCCGGGTCATTTTCGCGAATTGTGTAGTGCTCAAGGCATCACCTTTGAGAGCATCTGATGTATCGAGTTCTTGGTATGATGATCTGGCTTAGAGACTTTTATATAATTCCAAGCCGTCTCCGAATTATAGCACCAATGGATCCTTGTAGAATATATCGACCTCCCAAGACCACATGAGCGTTCATCTAGGGCGCAGATCATGGACCAAATATAAATAGCATCCCTCCTTGTTTCGATCTTTATACGTTCGATGAAGCGCGGAACGTAAGTCCGAAGCAATACCACCGGAATATGGTGAAGTAGAAATGCATGAGTTCAAGGAATGTGGGAACGAACTCTTTTTAGAAAGGTATAAGAGGAGCATTCCAACAGGCAAGGGATGATCTGCGACTTGGAATAATGTCAGCATATCGCTGAATTCGGGGAAGAAATGCAAACCCCGAAACATGACGCATTTGCGGTTCTGAGCCAGTCGGATATGTGTGTCGGGGAGGATGTGTAATCAGCGCATCATCACCCACAATCCCCGTACGGGACAACAGCGCAATTATCATTTCTCTTTCGCCAGTTCAACAACAGCATACTGACTTCTAACTCCTCTACTTTTAACTTTCAGGAACATACTTCCCATAATGAACGATTCGCATTAGTTTGTCAACAGAAGATTGCACTGGATTTACCCGGGAAACTCAATCAGGATTCCGCTGATCCAGATTCCTGACTCGGCTTCCGTGTTTGCCCCATGCAATATGACAATGATTTGCAATATCACAGTAATCTACAACGATGACGGTGTACATGTCTTTGAGTTAGCTTGTATGACTACCATCAGAAAGGCTGAGCTATCAAAGGTGTTCCAGAAACCGGCCTATGCGTGTCGACGGTGATTTATTTTCTGCGCTTGCACAAACCAGCAAGTCAATAAGTTCATGACGAGGCTGGGTCTCCATGTACCAACACAGCACGCAGCTCAGTCGGCATCAGCAGTCTGTCTTGTCGATCATCGAGCGCGTATGCTCATGCGTGTCTGTGGTTGGCTCGGGTGTCGTCATTGCGACCTTTGTCAGCTCGAGGGAATTTCGCAAACCGATCAATCGCTTGATCTTCTATGCGTCATGGGGCAACCTCCTATCGAATGTTGCGACTCTCATTGCCGAGTCCAGTCTGCAGGATAGTCCCCATGGCGCCCTGTGCCAGTTCCAGGGGTTCATGATTCAGTGGTCAGTCAATGCTCGTGATATGGCAGGATTCATTTACTGATACTGGTCTATAAGGTTCTTGCCAGCGGACTCTCTGTGGGCGCTCGCCATGGCGTACAATGTGTACCTGGCGTTCTTCAAGCATTATGATACCAGGCGTCTAGGGATGCTCGAGTGGAAGTATGTGCTTTTCTGTTATGGAGTGCCATTTATTCCGGCGTTCGTCTATCTCTTCCTCAGCTCCGAGTCGAGGGGCAAGGTATACGGCGATTCTGTGGTAAGTCTCATCGAAGTAGTGCTTGAGTGTCGATACTTATCATGATCAGTTATGGTGCTGGGTCTCGCTGCAGTGGGACTTTCTCCAGATAGCCGTATTCTACGGACCAGTCTGGTTCATCATCTTGCTCATCCTCGCCATCTACATCCGTGTTGGCTTAACCATCTGGCGACAACGACGTGAACTGAGAAAGATCATCAGGCCGACTTTCGAACTTGCCACAGACACCACCGTGTCGGGAGACGTTGATCTCCACGGAACAGTACAACCAGTGCCACTTGATAGCTTCCGGCGACACTCAACCAGAGAGCGGAGTCCTACTTCTACTCCTAATTCATCCCATCGAATAATTTCTCCCGATGTCTGGTCTACTCAGAATCATGCTGGTCTTCGAAATGCCCCTCCTGGTACTGCAGTCTCTGTTTCCTCCAACGTCTCTCCTACAGCCTCGACTTCAATCAGCCACCACAACTACGATCTAGGCCGTTCCGGCGCATACACTAGCCCTGCGTCGGAAGCGTACTACAAATATGCCCTTCTCTTCTTTGCGGCATTAATTGTCACATGGGTACGTGCTTACGTCTCTATCATTCTGTACATCTAATGACGGGATTCAGGTCCCTTCATCTATCAACCGTGTTTATGCGCTTGCCGCCTCGAATCACTATGTCTTCGGCTTGAGTTGCGCCTCGAGCTTCGCTCTTCCTCTGCAGGGATTCTGGAATAGTCTTATCTACATTACTGTGTCGTGGCACGCCATTGTAACCTGGTTTCGACATGTCGGTAACCAGGCGCGGCGCACCTCCAGTGCTACGCTTCGACCTTTGAAATCTTCCTTGCGTCGTTTGAGTCGGGACTGACTGTGAGTCGCGACGATATTAACAATGAGACTATTGATTTCCACAGGCGAATTGACTGCACCGGATCATTATCCCACATATAACAGCGCAAGAACTGAGTTGGAGGTGCAGGTAGTCATAGACCTATAGTACGTAATGGTAACTCACAAAATAGCCTCATTTTAGTAATTAAGAAGTTGCTCTGTACTTGACCACAGATTTCACCTGACAGTACTCGATCAGTCCCATTAATCCATACTCCACACCTATTCCACTCTCCTTATGGCCTGAGAATGGGACGCGAGGATCTGGACGTGAGGGACCATTGACAAAGACCGTTCCTACGTCCAGGCTGTCCGCGATCCGCTGCGTTGCCTTTGCATCTTCGCCCCATACGCTTGCACTCAATCCGACTGAAGTGGAATTCGCAGCGGAAATCACCGCTTCGATATCAGAAAAGGGCATACAGGGGATGATAGGTCCTGGAATGACTTGTCAAAACTCGTCCCTCGTACATTTCAGTAAAGAACCCACCAAACTGTTCCTCAATGACCAGCGGAGAACCTGCTGAGGGATTATCTACAATTATCGGCCAGAGGAAGAAGCCAGACTCGAGGGATTGGCGAGCGAGATCCTCCTGTGCTGTAAGAGGTTGATCCAAGGAAAAGTTGCACCCTTCTCGTCGGCAGTCTTCGATCAGATCTCTCAGTTTCTGATACTGCATCTTGTTCTGAATCGGGCCCAACATGGTGGCACCATCAACCGAGGAGCATCCGACCCTGACGTGGGACCGGGTAAATTCCGCCAGAGCTCGCAGGAAACGCTCATAAATGGACTCATGGATATAGACGCGCTTGGTCGCAATACATGACTGACCCGAATTCCACCATGCACTCATTGCGACCTGCGGAGCCACTTTTTCGATGTCCACATCCGGCAAGATGATGGCGGCATCATTCCCACCCCTGGCTGGGTCAGCCTGGATTGACCAAATGTGCAGAGGCAGTGGGTACGAACAGTTCTAATGTCACCTTCTTGAGCGTCTTTGCCGCAGCCTCCATGATCTTCTTCCCGGTGGGCGTAGACCCCGTGAAGGAGATATGGGCAATGCCAGGGTGATCGACCAAAGAAGGCCCCAGATGGCCATCATCGGCCAGCACTTGCAGAACGCCGGGAGGGAAGATAGACTGAGCCAGTTCTATACACTTAAGACACGTGTACGGTGTAGATGGTCTGCAACACTTAGTCAAAGCTCCACCAACACAGCCGATTCCCTTACGCAGGCTTCACAATCACACAATTCCCGACAGCCAGCGCCGGGGCGATCTTGCCAAATGCTGCCTCAGTCAGCTTTTTCACACCACTTTCATTATATTGCTCTCACCTAGCATAATTGGATCTGCGAACAATTGTTAGCAGGCTATATGGAGGATCCATAGACATGTAACTTACAATTCCACGGACAGATCGCTGCGACCACCCCTCGAGGCTCATACCGGATGGTCACCTCCTTGTCTTCATCCTGCAATACCTGATGAGGGAGAACCTGCGACGCTGTTGTCTATTAGTCTGTCGTTCTGGTGAACGACTTCATTACCTCACTCACCTGGATGACGGAGCCAAAGAACGGACCAATGGACCTCGATCTGCGCGACATCTTTCTGATGTAGATATCAGCGCAGTTTGCTCAACAGAAGCCCATGGAATTGGCATGTTGAGACACAATGCGCAAACATGAATTTGCCACTTACCGTCCGACCAGTTTCGGCCTGCAGTAGCGTCGTAAATTCAGGGGCCCACTGCAAAAAGGCATCGGCGAATTGGTTGAGCAGTTGCACACGGGTGCTGTACTCAGTAGCGGACCACTTGGGAAAGGCTTTCCGCGCCGCACGAACGGCATCGTTGACATCCTCCTCGGTAACGATGGGAACATCCCACAATGGCTTTCCTGTTGCTGGATTGGTGCCGTGGTGCACGCGGGAGGAGCCTCGTCGCTCACCGTCAAGGATGTTCCAGAAAGAGTCGAACGATATGTCCGTGCTATTGGCCATGGCCGTTGCTGGGGTATCGGATCGAAAAGAAAGCTGCCTTCTCCATCATGAGCGTGTCCATCGCGCCCAAGCGTGGATATTAAGCTTTGATTGTTGCACGACGTGACTCGGCGTATTTCGGCGGGTTCGGTGGATGCCAATGTGGTTCACAATCGGGCCAATTCTGCTCGCGTGGCTTACAGATGTGCCTTAGGGGTAAAGATGGACCCGTGGATACAATGGCATGGTTCATGGCGGTTTATGACAAAAAAGGCCATGATCCGCGCAAGATCTGCGGAAGAAGAAACCAGCGGTTTCTACTGTGACAAGATCGTCCATGACTCTTTCCATGCTTGGACTCGCTATCGCTGCCATCCCTGTCACGATCACCATGGCCAGTGCCAGTACTACTGTCCCGTCAGCTACAGCGTCGATCGCGCTGCCTATGCAGTCATCGGCGCTAGGTCCGCTATTCAACATCACCGTCGGGACACCTCCCCAGCCATTGACGGTGTTGAGCGACTGGACCTGGATGTCCCTGTTCACTCGCTCCGCACACTGCGAGGGAAGCTACAACGTCACCAATTGCATTCCACCGGGCCAGCAATGGTACAATGAGCGCCAGTCAACGACCTTTCACAATACCAGCTATGAAGCTACGGCCTGGGAGAACACCGCCTTCCTCCCTGGCTGCCCTTTTGCGGTGACCTACGGGCAGGACAGTGTTTGCATGGGCGAGATTTGCTCCGACGGGACGGTGTTCCAACTATCAAATTTCAACATCACCATCCCCAATGTCGTCCCATTCGGCGGTATCTTCGGACTCGCGCCCGTTTTGCCCGGTCTGAACGAGACTTTCTTCCCAGCCTCCTACCAGGCCTATCTAGCGGGCCAGTTGGGTCCCCAGGTTGGCTTCCATTCTTGTGCGGCCTTGTCCTCCAAGGAAACCTGCGGCGGAGGCGATATGCAACTTGTCCTTGGGGGCACCGCTGGCCCAGACGTGTACGACCCGTCTGAGTTGAATCTAGTTTGGTTCGATGTTGAAGCGGCAGCCTGGCTGTCTGAGAGTGCGCCGTTGAATGTCCGGCCCGCACGAAACAATTTCTGGGCTGTGCAATGGACGGGGATGTGGATTGGCGAGTATAGTCTACCGCTGACCCAATCTACCACATCGAGGGTGAATAATACCGTGCCCCTGGCCGTTTTCGACGAAGGGTCTGAAGGGTATAGTGCCCCGGTACCTGCAGCGGCCTTGGATGTGTTGCTGCGCGCGACAAATGCCACTGTTGTGTCCACCGCTTCCGGCTCGACGTATTCGCTTCCGTGTGATGTCGATCAAGACCGCCTTCCGATTCTGAGATATGAATTGCAGGGCAAGCACAACTATACCATTCTCCCTTCGGCGTATGTCACGCGCAGCGACGAGGGATGCCAGTTGAGGATCCGGGCGTGGAATTTCGAGAGCAACGGGCCCATGGCACTATTTGGACTGTCTTTCCTGGAACGGCTCTACATTATTTTGGACTTTGCGAATTTGCAAGTCGGGTTGGCTCCGTTGAGGACGGACTTGTTTGTATAATCTCCTCACTTTGCCTAGGGATCGCTGTTTGTATACAAGGTGTCCTTAGAGACCAAAACTGCTCAAATAGAAAGCTGCTTAATCTAAATACGAAGGAGTTTGACAAAAATAAACCAACAGCTCACTTTACTGTCCCGGTGTCCATTCAGGAAAACCTCCTTAGTCCGCTTGCTCCATTCCGTCAATAATCCCTTACGGGCGTCGTCGTCCAGCCCAGATGCCGCCACCTGCAACGCTTTGGCAAAGTATCCCGCGATGACAGCCATCATCCAATCCACCACGGTATCCGCGTACGATCGACTTGCCATTTTCGTTTCAGACTCGCCGCTACGGGCTTGGGCTTGCAACCGCTCGTACGCGGGATGGGTGATTTCCGCCTCGAAGAGCTCCTCCGTCTGCCAGAGATGCTTGACCTGAGCCAGGGACATTCGGACGTCCTCTATCGTCCGATCGTAGGTAGGGACTTGGAACGCGCCAGCTACCTCGGGGGATATCCTTCCGCTCATGACCATCTGGATCATGGCTTGTCGACAGGCATCCACCAGGTCAGGGTAATTGGGGACTCCTGTCGATGATTGACTCACGAATGAGAGAATCAAGGAGCCGTCTTGTCGGAACTCCTGAGCGCGTAGAGCCAAGAAGCGAATGAGGTCCTCGTGTGCCTGTTGGCGGTTCAAGTCCTGGTTCCCGTCTGCATTGGTTGGTGCGGGGGTGTGTGAGGGCGCTCGTTCCAGGTGATGGAGAGTCGCCAGGGAGAATCCGACGTCCACGGTGTTGCTCGGCACGACGCGGTCGTAGAAGCTCTTGGCCACCATGGACGTGAAGATTGAATGCCTCTTGGGCTGTTCAGGGAGCCACTCTATCTGATTGACGGTTTGCACGAGGGTGTTGAAATCGTTACCCGGACGATCTGAGAGGATCAGTTGGGCTTCGTGTTTCTCTGCATCGCTGGTGGAGAAGCGAGCCTTGAGAATGTGTTTGAACGGCAGGATTCTACTGTATCCTTCAGTCTCAGAGAACAGGTATAGAAGGGATATGTCAGGTATACGGACGAATTTGCTCCCTGGGCACACCCATACTCGACGGCAGTAAGCCTCTCAGATACAGTGCTGACTGGAATGGTATCAAACAAAGGCAATGCTCGCTGCATGGCAGCCGCCTGCAGGGCCGAGTGTGCATTATAGAAGCCGGCACCCTGCATGGGGACATCGTTTTCTAGGACCCTGGAGTGGTCATGACCTTGGTCAACAGGGGCCGAGTGAGTTTGAGCCGTCATTGTGGACTTTGATAGACCTCAGATATCAATTGGCGCACACAATCTACAGTGGCTTACGACCCGCGGACGTCTTCTAATAATCATTGACATTTCGGTGGATTACTAACGTTCATTCTTGCTTCCGCCATCGTACAGTAGCACGTTCCCTTGCCGCTATAAATCCCGGATAGCTTCGCTCACAATTGAAAAGTCGACAACACAGCCGCAAAGAAACTCATCCAGCCGGGCAGGTCAGCCACCAGCACGCGAATCCGGTGGATATCGATCCAGCGCTTCAAGTCCTTGGTGCTTTGCCCCTTGGACCGATCCTCCATAATATCCCGGATGGGATACGCGATCAGGGGCACGAACAGAAAATGACACACCGTGAAACCCAGTCCGGCCCAGTACCACCGGCTGGATCGGAGCCGGTCTAGCGCGGGCCGGTCGATGAGCAGGTTGGCGACGGAGGAACTCAGAGTGAGGGTGTTGAGGCTGGCGATGATCCAGATGCCTTGCTCGAAGAATCGGCGGAAATAACGCGGCAGCATTGCCTCACTGTGATGTTTGTACTCGGGACGCAGGAAGCCGGAGAGGAACCAGTGCTCGTCCCAGGCGTACATGAGCGAGGAAGTGGTAGTGACTAGGGGGGCGATGCGCAGGAGTTTCATTGGGTCAAAGAAAAGCCCCGACGCCATATTGGCTGTTTGGAGGAGCGTATGGTAGATTGTACAATGTATTGAATGTCTGGCTGGGATGTATCGATGGCGCAGTCAGCGTTGAAAAAAATGCTGGTGAGGTATGAAGCTGAAATGGAAGAGGCGGCGAAATCCACCGAACGCGCCGAACAGAACCCACCGAATCAACTCCGCGGGTCAATTCCGCATGGGAGTGCTAGAAATACATGCAGACTGCTAATTGGATGCATGGCTCTAAGAGAATCGGAGATAATAATAGAAACAAGACGGACAAAATCTCTCTAATATATATATATAAATATATTTGGTGGATGCATTAGGCAATGGTTGTGTCACGTGCCAAAACTACAGCGTCCATTGAACCATGATCTTGTATTCCACAGCAGATGTGCGGGCAATACCGGCAAAGGGTAAGGCTAACTTAGGGAGCAGTCATTGGTGCAGCTTCCTTTCCTGTCTCCGTTTTTGTCTCGAGACCAAATTCGCTGCTGACCTCCTCCCGGAGATGTAGTCCCTTGATCAACAGGGCCAAAGGGACTCCGATCCCGCCAAAAGCAATCGAGACATACCACACCGTCTTCAAACTGTCCAGATAGACATGTAGAATGGCTGGCCACTGAGGGGAATGCCGATAGGCACCAAGAAATTCCTTCGTGGCATGTTGATAAGCGCCTCCGTTGACTAGCCATGAACGCGTGGCAGCGTCAGGAATCGTGTCCAAGAGATCATTGACCCGGGAATTGAACACGGCAGACGGAATCGCCGTGCCCCAGATAGATCCGAAGCTGCGAAGGAACGTCCAGGTCGCCGTCGCCGTGGCCACTTCGCTCTCCGGCAACGCAGCAAGAATGGCAGGGAGGCAGCTGGTGAAGATGAAGCCGGCACCCACACCGAACAGAATCTGAAATCCGACCCAGTCACCAGTCGAGGAGTGGTCGTCTAACAGGGTGAAGAGGCCACAGGCGATCGTCATCATGCCGAAGCCAGCAAAATGGAAGACGCGGTAGTGACCTGTCGCTGTGATGAAAATGCCGGCCAGCACGCCAAAGGGGGCGGTGGTGGTGGCGATGGGGAACAGCATAATGCCGGACCGAGTGGGAGAGGAGTCGAGTACGGCCTGGAAATATACGGGGAGAAAGTAGCATACCCAGTAAAGGAGGATGCCATGCAGGAAGCTCAGCACGAAGGTGGTGCTGGACGTCCGGTTGGCGAACAGCCGCATGGGCATCGTAGGCTCTTTGACGGCCGGAGTCGCTTCGTAGAGAAGAAAGCCTAGCAACCCAACAAATCCCAAGACTAGCGGGACGATGGTGCGCCAGGAGGACCAGGCATGGACGGTGCCTCCCCAGGTCAGCGCCAGGAGAATGGCCACCACTGCCAGAATCAGGATGGCATTGCCCACGTAGTCTACACGTTTTAAACGGTCGAGAAGATTGCCTTCCCGTCGGTAGCGCAATCGAAGGAATGGGATCAGCAGAGCCAGGGCGGCACCGGACAGGGGAAGGTTGATGTAGAAGATCCAGCGCCACGAGATGTGCTGGGCAAAAGCGCCTCCCAGGATGGGGCCCACGACAGATCCAATCGCCCACATCGACCCGATCAGACCGACGTATTTGCCCCGTTCGCGGAGAGAAACCAGGTCGCACACCACAATCTCCACCATCGTGTTGATGCCTCCTCCCCCAATGCCCTGCACCGTCCGGCCCCCGATCAACATGGCCGTATTGTTAGCACCACCCGCAATGCCACTGCCCAGAGCAAAGAGAGCAACAGATAGTAAAGTGAGGCTGCGCCGACCAAAGATGTTGGCAGCCTGGCCGAATAGTGGCTGGACGGCTGTCGAGGCGAGCAAATACGAGTTGATCGTCCAGACATAGAGCGTTTCCGAGTCGAGATCAGCGGCAATCGTGGGAAGTGCCGTGGAGATGATGGACGTATCCAGAGCCGAGAGAAAGGCAGTCATGCACAAAGCGCAAAAGATGACAGTGAACCGCCATCCTTTTTTGGGAGGTTGGGGGTCAGAATTGGATGTGGTCATCCCGAAATCATTCGTTGTTGTGGAGGAGTGTTGTATAATCATTCAATCGAAAAAGCTGAAATCGCAAAATAGAAGAATTAAGGAAGACAAAGAGAAAGGGGAGAAGTTGAGAGTGGCGCAACCTCGGAGCGATTCGGTGGGTTTTGGCTGGACGGAACGTGACCAACAGGATTAACCAAGACACCACAGTCATATGAAGGTGACATGACCCAAGAGCATGGCCAAGTTAATTAGTTTCAGTCTCCATCCAATATACCCAGTAAAACGTATCACAATGGGCGTTGTTGATCTCCAATCCCTGTCAACAGCAGGTCTGTTTCGCAGTGTGACTGCGGCAGTGATCCTCTGGTTTCTGATCCCCCGACTCTGGCAGGTGAGAGGAATCCAGGTAGTTTAATTGACAATGGTTTCTAAACCAATTGCAGGTTCTTCGCGCTGCCATCTCTCCCCTCAATCGCATTCCCGGTCCGCGGCTCCATAAACTGTCAGAATGGCCACTGGTGCTCGCCATCACCAAAGGACGCAGCCACCAGAAAATGCAGGACCTGCACCAGACATACGGCCCCATCGTGGTGCTAGCCCCTAACATGATTGCCGTATCCGATCGACAGCTCATCCGGCGTATCCTCGTCACAGAAGATTGGCCCAAATCCTCTGCCATCTATGCCAATTTCCGTCAGAACCCCGAGCGTCCCACGCTGTTGGCGTTTACCGATAAGAAGGCGTATGGGGTACGCAAGCGGCTCGTCTCATCCATGTTTGGAATCCGATATATACGGGGAATGGAGCCCATCATGCGCGACTGCGTCCAGATAGCGCTGGAGCAATTGCACAGCGCCTGCCAGCAACACGGCGGCGAGACGACTGTGGATATCCACCGACTCATGCGAGCCCTCGCGGTCGACATCATCGGCGCTACGACATTCGGGCAGTCGTTCCATGTGGTTGAGCAAGGAAGCCATCCCCTGCCGAAGAAGATCGAATACAGCCTGCTGCTGTCCGGAATTTTTCAATTCCTCCCCTGGTTGAAGGGACTGCCTGGGTTCCCAACCCGTGACCCGTACATTGACGAGTTCACCAGGGCGATTGTGGAGCGACGACGACAGACCATGAAAACAGAGCACCGGCATGATTTGCTGCAGAAGCTCGTGGAAGCAGTCGACGACCGGCCCCATTCGCCCTTTCGGACGTCAGATCTCCAAGATGAGGTGGTTGTGCTATTGACGGCGGGTAGTGAAACCACCGCCAACGCCGAGATTTTCCTCCTGATGCTTCTGGCCAAGCACCCGGACAAATTGGCCTTGCTGCACGAGGAGATCGATAGGTTCTACCCAGACCCGGAGGAGGAGACCACGGCCGAAAAGGCGCCCCAGATGCCGTACCTGCAGGCCTGCATCGATGAGACGATGAGGCTGTACGCCGCCATGGCAAGCGGCAGCCCGCGCGAGGCCMCCGAGGATGTGACCCTGCTGGGATATCACATACCCAAGGGTACTACAGTCTTCCCCACGACGGCCACTTTGCATCGTGATCCAGATATTTGGCCCCAGCCGAATGACTTTTTGCCGGAGCGCTGGTTGGATCCTGCTGTCGGACTGAAGCGCAATGAGCTGCCCTTCTATCCATTCTCAGCAGGCAGTCGGGTGTGTATTGGCAAGTATTTTGCCTTGCAGGAGATCTACCTGAGCGTCGTGTCGCTCTTGAGGAGGTTTTCACTGGAATACGTACCGGGACAGGACGAATCGACGGTTTTCCGGGTGGCATTACAGCTGAGTGCAGGGAAGTACATGGTCAAGATTCGTGAGCGTCGACGGCAATAGATAGATTGATATACGTCAGCTAAATTACATCAAAATTTCGAGATACTTGTTATGGTGTTGTCTAAGGGTGCTCTTGTCTCGCGCTGATAAAAGTCGCCTCGGAAAAAACACAGCGGATCTCCTCCTGGCCGATGACCCGGTGATACCATCGAGTCACCGAGGGGAATTCCTCGCGCATCTTTGCATCAATCACCTGCATGAATCCCCAGTATAAAGCACTAGCCAGCGAGAGATCCGCCAGGCTCAGCTTTCCTTCGGTAACCACCCACTGTCCTACCGCCAGATGTCTTTCGAGACACTGCAGTCCCCGGCGGAGAGCGGCCATGGATCGCTCCTCGACCGTGACATCAAATGCCGCCATCCCAACTCGCCACATCACCAGTTGGATGATCGGGTCCATGATCTCATGGTCAGCGAAGCAGATCCATTGACGGATCGAGGCACGTTCGAGAGCATCGCGCCCAAGGAGCTGTTCGCGATGGGGACCACTGTCAGCAACGAACTGAGCAATGGCATCAGATTCGAACAGGAGCGCTCCATGGGAAGTTTCCAGGCAGGGAACCTTGCCCATGGGGAATTTTGCTAGAAACTCGGGCGAGCGGTTGGTGATCCCCATCTGGAAATCGGGAGCTAGATTGATGTCGAGCCCATTGATCTGGGCTGCAGCCTGGATCTACGCATGGTTCAGTGGTGAATAAGATAGGCAGGATAGAAATCTTCAAGTACCTTCAAGATCCGTGCGTTGGGAGTATACGTATACAGTGTTCCAAAGGCCATCGTCTCTCGCGTCTCATGAGTTGCATTACAAGGATGGAGCTCACTATCTCACAGCACCAAGTACATAAATAAAATCAAATCCAGCCAATCCTCCGCGCCTCAGATCTCTCCCACCCTTCACCTGACGCTTCGGCGGATTCCCACTCATCGGCGGATTTGCAGCTGCTCGTCCAGCCAAGCAAACATGCGCTGCTGCTTAATGCCGATTGCGCCGATTTTGGCCTGTAACCCTCCCTGGCCAACACCCTCAGCCACCCACAGCTTTTTCTTGCTCTCGGGTAGATGCTGCAGCTTGGCGAAGATCCGTTCCGCGTTCATCTCCGGCGCAAAGTACATGGTGTCCTTGGCTCCCGTCACCAGAACTGCCCCGTCGATTTTTCGGAGGAATTCCTTGCCATCAGGCAGTCGCAGGGTAAAGGTCTGCATTCGGCGCATCACGTCCGCCGGCGTGGCAACACCATACACCCACATGCTGTGCCCAAACTCCCACGCTAGCTGGAAGCTCTGCCTTGACAGGCAACCCACCACCCAGTTGAAGACAGCGTCACTGATCCAGCCGCTGATCCAGCCGTTGATGAACCATGAAGGCATGCGCGTGCGGGTGATGTCGAACATATCGTAGAATCCGTCGCAGGAGACACAAGCCCGGATCCGGGAATCGGCGGCTCCTCGAAGTGCCAGATATCCGCCCATGGAGGCGCCGAAGATGGCAATTGCGTTCGGATCAATGTTGTAGGGCGCAGCGGGACCAGGCAGGAGAGTGTCAATCACGTAGTCCAAGACTCTGCCGATGACTATCTCCCAGTCCGGTCGGAAGGGCTTGTTGTGATGTCGTAAGACGGTTCCTTGACCGGGTCCATCGAAGATCAGGACGGCGTATCCTCGTTGGGTGGCTCCTGATGCCACGTAGAAGTAGAGCTCCTCTCCAATGGAATCGAATCCCCCGGTGTGGACGATCAACGGGGTTCCCCCAGACAGCCGTTTCTGTGCCGGAGGGAGGAAGAGATATCCGGGCAGATGGATGTCTTCGTATGGAATTTCCAAGATCATGGTTGGGCCTTCCAGCAGAGCAATCGCTTGTTTGAAACAAGACACGCTCTGCTCAAAGACGCGGACGAGGCGCGGATCAGACGGGGTGCAATGAAGGAAGAATTCGCTAGCCCGCCAGTAGTTGGACGAACGGAAGAAAGCCCATCTGGCAGCCTCGCTGTCGTTTTCCTGGAGGGCCTCTTCGCCAAGTGTCTTTGCCCGTCCTGCCAGATCGGTCCAGACATTGTACCAGCTGTCGATGTCGCCGTCCTTAATGCGCGACACGGCTTCCAGACACTCGCCAATCTCGGCTCCCTGCACAGGGGCGGTGCCAATGACGCGAAGGAATTCAAAGTCAAAGAATTCTGACTTGAAGAACCAGCCCATGGTGGTGGGGAAGTACAGCCAGCAGTTGATGTCTTGGTGTAGGCCAAAACTGAGGCTACTTGTGGATATCCACCGTATATGAAGCTGGGCTTCGGTGGATTTCGCCTTCTCGACCATGTGGCCTCCGATGGACCATATGCACACGTGGGTAGATGGAGCTGTGGATCTCTTGATATTATATATATCATTGCAGCGGTAGCATGCTCGTGCCACCCTGCATCCGCTGCCTCCCTCATTCTACTATCGATCTAGGCTTCAACATCCTATATCCTAACCATTCGTTTACTCGATCCTTTCTCTTACAATGGCTCCTCAACAACGTTCGGAGCCGATCGTGGTCGTGGGAACTGGCTGTCGCTTCCCCGGTGGCATCCACAGCCCATCTCAGCTCTGGGAAGCAATCTGCTCCCAGAAAGACCTTCTCGCTCGCATTCCACCGTCCCGGTTCAACACCAAGGGCTTCTATCACTCGAATGGCGAGCGACACGGCAGCACAAACGTTGACCAAGCCTACATGCTTGGCGATGATATCAGGGCCTTCGATGCCAACTTCTTCGGCATCAATCCCCGAGAAGCCGAAGCTATCGATCCTCAGCAGCGGATGCTCCTCGAAACCGTTTACGAGGCGATGGAGGATGCCGGTCTGACCATCTCCGGAATGAAGGGATCAGACACCGCAGTGTATGTTGGCCTGATGACGGGTGACTATCACGAAATGCAGATCCGCGACCCGGAGAATATGCCCATGTATATGGCCACTGGAACCGCTCGCAGCATCGTTTCCAACCGGGTTTCATACTTCTTCGACTGGAAGGGACCCTCCATGACCATTGACACCGCCTGTTCCTCCAGCCTTGTCGCTCTGCATCATGCCGTCCAATCCCTCCGAGCTGGAGAATGTCGCATTGCCGTGGCAGCTGGGGCCAACCTCATTCTTGGGCCCGAGATGATGATTGCCGAGTCGAATCTGCACATGCTGTCACCCACTGGACGATCTCGAATGTGGGATACCGCAGCGGATGGATATGCCCGCGGTGAAGGCTTTGCCGCGGTCATGCTCAAGACGCTCTCCCAGGCCCTGGCCGATGGGGATGCCGTGGAATACATTATCCGGGAAACCGGAGTCAACCAGGATGGGCGGACACAGGGTATCACCATGCCGAACGCAGAGTCCCAGACAGCTCTGATCCAGCAGGTCTACCACAGGGCCGGCCTCGACTACACGCGCCCTGAAGATCGGTGTCAGTTCTTCGAGGCGCATGGAACGGGGACACCCAGAGGCGACCCCATCGAGGCGCGTGCCATCCGAGATGCTTTCTTCGTTGACTCCCCAACGACAGAAGAGTCGATTTACGTTGGTTCAGTGAAGACGGTCATCGGCCACCTGGAGGGCTGTGCGGGCTTAGCCGGTCTACTCAAAGCAGCTGAAGCAGTGCGTCGAGCTGAAATTCCCCCCAACATGCATTATACAGCCATGAATCCCGATATTGTCCCTTTTGCTCAGCATTTGCGGGTGCCGACCAAGACCCTTCCCTGGCCTGGTCACAGCTCGGTTCGCCGGGCGAGCGTCAACTCATTTGGTTTTGGAGGAACCAATGCCCATGTCATCATTGAGAGTTATGATCGCCCCAATCCAAGCCATAGTCCTTCGTTGCCCACCATCTTACCCATTCCGTTTACCTTCTCGGCCGCCAAAGAGACGTCGTTGGCCCGTCTGATCACTGAGTATATCGATCTGATCAAATCCGACAACGCCCCACCTCTCCATGAGATGGCCGTGACTTTGGCAACCCGACGAACCCAACACTCGATCCGGGCCACCTTCTCTGGCAAAGACAAGGACCAGCTTCTGCACGAATTGGAGACTGCGCTCACCACACCGTCAGTGGGAGAGCGTAAGCAGACAGCACCCATATCGAACCGGATTCTGGGCGTCTTCACTGGCCAAGGCGCTCAATGGGCATGTATGGGACGGGAAATCCTTCTGTCATCTCCAATGGCAAGGGAGACTTTGAAAAACCTCCAGGCATCTCTGGACGAGCTTCCAGATGGACCAAAATGGACTCTAGAATCGCAGCTGACGCAGACTGAGGACCCATCGCTGATCCAGGAAGCCGCGCTATCGCAGCCCCTGTGCACCGCAGTGCAGGTGATGTTGGTTGATTTGCTGCGGGCTGCGCATGTCTCCTTCCACACGGTGGTAGGCCATTCGTCTGGAGAGATTGCCGCGGCGTATGCGGCCGGAATGATCTCTGCACGGGATGCCATTCGCATTGCATATTACCGCGGATTGTACGCCAAGTTCGCCAGAGGTAGAGAAGGCGGAAAAGGCGCCATGATGGCCGTAGGCATCAGTTTCGACGAGGCCCAGGAGTTCATCAAAGACTCCAGGTTCCAAGGCCGCATCGCCGTCGCTGCCAGCAATGCGCCCCGATCCGTGACCCTCTCCGGGGATGAAGATGCTATTGGCGAGGCCAAAGCTATTTTTGAGCAACAGGAGACCTTTTGCCGCCTCCTCAAGGTCGATACCGCATACCATTCGCACCACATGCTTCCCTGCCTCGAGCCATATATTGCCTCCCTACAGGCTTCCGCGATCGCCCCCTTGAAGCCCAGCGACGAATGTATCTGGGTTTCAAGTGTGCACGGACGAGTAATGACCACTGACGAGGAGGGGGAGACACTCAGGGCAAAATACTGGGGTGACAACATGGCCAATACAGTGCTTTTCTCTCAGGCGGTTCAGAAAGCGACGCGGCTACACGGCCCCTTTGCTCTCGGACTGGAGGTTGGGCCCCATCCCGCATTGAAAGGACCCGTCACCCAAACGACAAAGGAAGGGACCGGTCAGGTATTGCCGTACAGTGGCACCTTGGCTCGTTTTGGACACGATGTTGCGGCCCTCTCGGACGCATTGGGCTTTTTGTGGAAGGAGATCGGCCCTCATGCTGTTGATCTTCGTGCATACAGTGCCGCAGCGTTTGAACTGTCATTCCAGCGCAGTTTCCACCCGCAGCTACCGCGGTACCCGTGGGACCACAGTCAGCGATTTTGGAAAGAGTCCCGTGTGTCGAGAAGATATCGCCAACGCCAAGGCAACAGGCACGATCTTCTCGGCGCTCGCTGTCCTGACGATCATGACCATGAGATGCGATGGAGGAACACCCTGCGTGTCTCTGAAGCCCCGTGGCTATCCGGTCATAAGGTCCAGGGGCAGGTTATCTTCCCAGCGGCAGGGTATCTTGTAATGGCAATGCAGGCTGCACAAGAACTCGCTGCCGACGCTCCGATTTCCATGCTACATCTCCTTGATGTCAATATCGACCGGGCGATTGCGCTCCCAGAGGACAAGGGGGTGGAGGTCATGTTCCATCTTCGGCCAGATACTATTACCTCCTCTGTGATAGAGGCTAAGTTCTCGTGTTACTCGGCCACTTCGGACGAGGAAGGGGCCCGGTGGCAGCGGAACGCCTCTGGAGTGGTGCAGGTCCATCTAGGTCCAGCAGGCCACATCCAGCTTCCATCCCCGCAGGAAGAGCCCGTCTCTCTGGTGCCTGTGAAAATGGAGACATTCTACGAGTCTCTAAGCAAGATCGGCTTGGAGTATACAGGCCTCTTCCAACGGCTAGACCAAGTGAACCGTCGTGCCGGCCGGGCCACTGGTTACGCTCAGGATATCTCTTCTGACAGAGAAATGCCTGTCATGATCCATCCCGCTCTTTTAGATGCCGCGTTTCAGACCATTTTTGCTGCCTTCTGCTGGCCAGAAGACGGCAGCTTGCATGGCCCCTACGTCCCCACCCATCTTCGATCTCTCAATATCGTACCAATGACCCCTTGTGACGGTCAGAAGATGACAATCGAATGCACAATCACGGGATCACTACCGCAGACTGTCACAGCAGACGTAGACATCTTCACACCAAACAACCCGCGTGTCCAGTTAGAGGGACTGACCTGCACGCTGTTGGACCCTCCAACCCCCGAGGACGACTGCGAACTATTCGCCGAGACGGTCTGGCAGGCCGATGCCGGGGCCGGTTTCAATCCCGCTGACCTGGCTTCCGACTGTACCGATGACCTGGAGCTTGTGGACCTTTGCGAGCGGCTGTCCTACTCTTATCTCCGTCAGCTCAATGCCGCTATTGACCGCAGGGATGTGGATTCCTTTGTCTGGCATCACCAGCGTATCTTCGAGTTCATCGACTACCTCTTTCCGCTAATTGAAAGCGGCCAGCACCCCACCATCCGTGCTGAATGGAAAGACGATTCCCACGAGTGGCTGCTTGCCCAGGCGCGACAGCACCCTGGCATGGTGGATCTGCAGCTAATCTCTGCAGTTGGAGAACACATCGCGGACGTGGTTCGGGGCAAAACCACCATGCTGGAGCATATGATCGCCGATAACACATTGGACCGATTCTACAAGTACGGACTCGGGTTCCAGCGGGCCAATACCGCTCTTAGTCGTGTAGCTGGGCAGATCGCCCATCGATACCCGCGCATGAGGATCTTGGAGATTGGCGCCGGCACCGGGGGGGCAACCAAGGGGATACTGGAGCAGCTGGGCGATGCGTTTGAGCAGTACGTGTTTACCGATATCTCCACGGGCTTCTTCGAGAAAGCACAGGAACAGTTTGCCGAGTGGGCGTCGCGTATGACGTTTCGGCCTCTTAACATTGAAGAGGATGTCGCCGCCCAGGGGTTCGAGGACGGTACTTTTGACCTGATTATCGCCTCTAATGTTCTTCATGCGACCAGGAAGCTGGAGTATACGATGCAGAACGTCCGGAGGTTGCTAAAACCGGGCGGCTACTTGCTTCTCCTGGAGGTAACAAGCGACATTCTGCGGGTCAAGTTCATGATGGCAGGCCTCTCGGGATGGTGGCTGGGCGCTGATGACGGCCGACGATATGCCCCGACCATCAGCGCGCCTCAATGGCACGAACTCCTGATTCGTACCGGATTCTCCGGGGTCGATCAGAGGGTGACTGACTTCC